ATAGATGAAACCGAACTTTTGTTTCATTTTTCAAAACATAATAAAAATAATAACTTCATCCCGTGCAAGGTGCGGGTCTTATCCTAGTAATTATATCTAGCATAACAATCATAAATGCTTCTATCATAAATATCATATCATATAGTTTGACCAAAAGATATATCTAGCAACATATAAAAATCGAATGTAGACCTACTTATTTTTCAATTGAATGTAATTGGCTACCTAATTAAGTGACATGTAAACATGGGCTCTTTTTTAATTATTACAAAATTGAGGTAACAATTTTTCAAATGTTTCTCTATTAATATATAGGGGATAAATTCCGTAATGAGAAATATCATGTGGATTAAAGTGGCCCCAATCCTAAAAATAACTTGTTTCTCTCTGAATTAATTCTCAACATCGCTTTATTACCAGCACACATCAACATGAGTTTTGCTTATATTATGAGTTATTTTTGGGTCAATAGACACCTTCAACAAGATAAATGGAATCTCATCCAACTAACCCCTTACTTTTGAATCTCCAAAGCGAGAAGATGATGAAGCCACGCCGGAGCAAGTCTAGCGATGTAAGACTGAAGTCGCTGATCACGGATGACACTTAGAGCAATTTCCGCAGCCGCTTCATTGCGCTCCTCGAAGGCGTGTTCTAAACTCCATGTGTTTATCCTTGCCAAAAGAGAGACGATATTGTGGCGGATGAGGTTGAAATCATGGATTTGCTGGCTATTAGGCTTTGTGAATACATCATGGAGGCAATCGGACGATGTCTCAAAAATAATATTTGAGTAATGCAAATTATTCATACATTCGACCGCCCGGAACAGAGCCCATAAATCCGCTTATGTTTTTGTACGCATGTAAGAGTAAGCTCGACGACTATGCATGATACTAACCAATTATACTATTTTTATTTATTTTTATCTTTTTATTTTAATGAAAAAATCCATTTACAACTATAAAATTATATTATTTTATAGAGATTTTTAGTATATATTATTTATAGAATATTAAATTAAAGAGGCTATACTGTATATGATCTGTTGATGTTCACAAAAAAGTATCCGTTCATTAGTATTATTATATGATTAGGGCTTTTTTATATATTTGAATGTATTAGTTAAAAAACCTAGTAATCGTTCTCTTCATATTTTTTGTTAATAAATTTATTTTGAATTGTTTGGTCAAAAAAAAAAAAAATTCATTCTGCATTGTGGTTATCGTAGATATAATGCTATTACCTTTGCACGCCATATAGCGAGCCATGATATTACTATATTACTACCAATCTAAAGGCTTCTTCTAGAACTCCTATAGCTCGTATATATATTCTCTTAGAATGCCTTGTTTATTATGTTATGCTCAATCTTGATTAATTATTTTACAGATCTTATTATATATATATATATTCTCACAAGTCTTAACTTCTGAATCGTCTCTTTTGATCATTTTGATTGTTGTTGCTGCTAAATTACCACAACTTAAGTAACAATTTAAGACTCACAGTCAGAATGTCTCACCCTTCTATGTCTAAAGTAAAATACGCAGGCTAGAGCTACTGGAATGAAGATGACACAGACTTGCCAAGCAACTTGGGACATGACTAAGATAGTTCCAACAATCTGAATGATATGGAGAAAGCACACCAACCTAGGTTTGTTGCCATTTCTGATTCCAGAACGCTTTGATCTGTGGATGTCTGTTATTGAACATGTAGAAAACAATAAGATACAGGGGAGCTTTGAGAACGATGCAGAGCATCCTTAAAGAGAACTTCTATGCTATTGAAAGTCCACCCAATAGCTACTAATATTGTCATTGCTAAACAAGTAAAATCTTATCCATACTTAACTTTGGTTCGATTCAGCAGTTTGAGATTTGTTTGAACTTAAAAATAAAATAAAAAACATTGTTGCACTGGATACAAAATAAATAAAATAAAAAATCCAGAATTAGCGGACCAAGTTATTGGATTACAAGTAAAATAAAAGTTTAATGAAAAACAAAGCAAATGAGCTTGAAATTTTCACTACAAATACTCTAGAGACAGACACCTTTTAGGTGGATATGTCAGATACAAAGTAAAAAAAGTTGTTTTCCCTTTTTGGCGGTGTGTGAGACGAAGAACTCAGGTGGGGGTTGGTGGTTAAGTGCTCTTCATAATGTATCCCAAAATTAGACCGATAAGTCCGACCAGAAGAACGTACATCAAAGGGATACCACTTTGGCTTCTCTTGCTGTCACGCCTTAACTGGTCCTGCAGATCAGCAAAATCTTTGTCAGAAAACAAACTCAACGTCTACAAAACAAAGTATGTAGATTTTAACAATTGCTTTTAGTTGAGACTAAGGTTAGATAAATCAACCATTTTCATCATAAATCCCAAGAGGTAAGTTATGCCTTCTTCTCAAGACCATGGAAAAAGCACTGAAAATTCTTGTCGTAATTGCTAATAATCAAAGTACCCCCCTTATCGTTCTAGAATGGAAGATGGATGGATTCTGAGATATAAATGAAAAGGTTTTATTCAAGTGAAAGTTCTTTTACCAGTTCTCTTTGAAGTTTGTTGTTCAGTTGAATGGCAGACTGTTTTTCCTCCGTTAGCTTTGTAATGAGAGCCCTTGCCTGAAATCACACAAAATTCAAGCTCTTAATAGAAAATATAGTAGAAGCACTTGACTTTCTAGGTACTACCAGGTGTCAAAAAAGAGCTAGTGGACTTTGTTTAAAACAAAAATGCAAAACTGATATATAAGTAATGGGCGGCTTGAGGACGGGCCTAGCTTATAAAAGTGTAATGAACCTTTTAAGTAATCAACCAAAAAAAATGAAAGATTCCAGACCTAAATAAATCAGCTGTAAAAGACTTAAAGCCAACTTTACAATAAAAGTAGCTCCGAATTTTTAACTAATGGCAAAGCTTTTAAACATAGCAAAGGACACTAACATTTGCCACAACAAAATGAAAAATGGTGAAAAATACCTCAGATGTTCTTTCTTGAGGTTCAACCTTGTCCGCGCCAAATCTCTGAGACTAAAATCAAACACAAAGCACACATGAGAATCTACAACAAGTAAAAAAAAATAAATGCCATATCCACCAATAACAGAGCCACGAAAGATGCACTTACAGAAAACTCAGAAGCATGTCCGTTATCAGAAACCGAAGCCCGTGGAGAAGAACCCTCTTCTGAACCTTCATGAACCGGTGATGGTGGCTGCGGTGGAGCAACATAAGTAACTCTCAGTTTAGTCTCCTCAACCAAATGCCCTGCCTCTTTGCTAAACTGCAAAGTTTCATCAAACCAAACTGCTTTAATGAGCCCAAAAAAAACAAACAAACACTGAATCCCCTATCAATCAAATCCAGAATGTGAATCAGTAAATACCATCTCAGGAGTAACTTCCTTGGGTGTGATACCAGCACTAGCAATCACACCTTGAAGCAAAAACTTGTCCTTACACTGCATATCGGAAGGAGCTTCCTTTTGAGCTTGCATGGTCACTACACCAAACACACAAAATACGATTCATATCGAAAAGGAGCTTCCTTTAGCTATTGATATACACACAAAATGTATAGAGAAGGGTACCAAGAACTTCACAAGTGGACCGTGGAAGAACAACTCCAGTGTTAGGCCTAACACAATACTTTTTCGGATTCGTTGTCTTAACCTAAAAAAACAAACACAAAACCGTGAAGCCTAAGAAATGTAATAGAGATTTCAAAAAGAGATTCATCATTACCTTGAATGCTACATGATTGTCTGTCTTGTTGGTCAAGTAAAGTGAGCATGAGATCTGCTTCCTCAATTCAACTAACACCAAAAAATCAAAATAAGATTATCAGATCTGGTGGAAGCTTTGAATCAATTCGAATTTGATGGGGAAATTAATAAGCTTACAAGGGAATTGAAGATCGAGAGGCTCGACGGAGAGAAGCTCGCTGTTACTCATCGTGATCAGATCGACGGAGATTCAATTTCGATTTGATCGGTCCGTGACGACGTCGTCTCCGGTTCAGAGAGAGCAGTCGTCGATCATGAACCGAGATCGAGAGAGAGAGAGAGTCGTGAGAGTGTTGCATCGCTATTTGTCTTGTGTTTCGTGTCAAGGGTATTATCGTCTTTTTAACAATGAATTTCAATTTAAAATAAATTAAAAACGCAAACGTGATCTCATCGCAAACGCATTAAATAACTGACCTAATTAAAGGAAGAAGCACTATGAGAAAATAGAAATAGGACCAATCGACTTTACGTTGTTGTTTTTACATGGAGATGGTTTATAACATATGCGTTTACTTTTAAATATGTACCTAACTGATGCAGAGAGGAATGTTTGATATGAATATTAAGAATACGGTTTTGTTACTATTAACAGCAATAAAAGCTATGCAATGAAGAGTTACAGATCATTTTTTTTTGACATGACTTCAAAGCTAAATGGAATGAATATCTACCTATCTTTACTTAGAAGCAACATACTATATAGTTCCTGATTTGTTGTTCAAGATGCAAATCAAGCAAGTCTCATGAATTGCATCCCCAAGAGACATGCTCATATGAACCACCCAAACACAAACATGTGCGTTGACTTTGCGCTTAGTTTCAACCCTCCCATCAGTTTCTAGAACTTGGTAAGCTTCTTAGACAACTGCTGTCACATGCCAATGCCATGTGAGGATCTTATTTTTATTAATGTCCGAACCAAGAGAAGAATGAAGTAAGAGAAGAGAAAAAACAATAATATATTCTATGACTTGTAGCTACATGGTGGTTTGCCGTTACAAGCTTACGGTGGGTCTTTATGATGGCTCAAGAATCAACTATTAACATGGAAAGGATTGCCTAGAGGTTGAAAATAATATATATCGATCCAACAGAAGTACACTATGCACGTTGGAACCAAGGAAAACCGATTTCAGTATATATCGATGACTAATAGCATGAATTCCTAACGAGTAAACAAAAGCAAGTTGCTATTGCTGGTTGCCTGAAGGACTCATTCAACTGTCTTCCTAGGTTTCACCCATTAATTCATTAAGCAGGTCGTTGGATAAGATTCTCTCTACCATATGGACAATATAAATGAACTGTGTAAATATAAGGACGAGTCGAATTGATTGTCCAGCACTACTATCACTTCTGCATTCCGAATATAATTTCCACCAGTCATATAAAAACTTTTTCTAAGTTATGCAGTATATCATAAGTTCATAACTGGTTGATAGATAAGGGTGTTTAGTGCTAAGTACAAGTCATTATCATATTTTTTTGTAATCATAATAATATATTTGTTTCTCTAGATAAAAATTAAAAACATACTGAAGATAGGAAAAGTACAAAAGGAGCACTCGTAAAAACATTTTTTTCAGCATTTCTGTAAACAGTGAAGATTTTGCTGTCATATTCACATACCTTTCAAGAAATACATGTTCATGTATATCTTGACTGTTCTAACAAAAGAAAATACACATTCATGCATATCTTTACTATTCTAACAAAAAAAATACATATCTTTATTTAGCATTTGATCTTTTCACTATAAATTAAGAGTCATTAACCTAGTGAATTACTAAGCAACTTAAAGCAAAATCAAAGAAGAGAAACAAAAAACATTATTGAGGAAAAAGAAAAACAATGTCTACTTCTACAAAAAAGAATAACATTTCTCTTATTTTTATTCTTGTAATCATGATTATCATGACTATATCAGGGTTTATTGAAATGGGAGAAGCGAGGAAACTAAGTGAGAAACGCTCAATAGGATACGGAGCAATTGGATCAGACAATGTACCAAAATGTAGTCCGAAAGACCCAAATGCAGCTGGTTGTAAGAAAACTCCGGCTAATGTATACAATCGAGGCTGCAGCGTTGCTACCAGATGTGATCATGAAAAGATTTAGTCAAGAACAAAAGATAATCTATCTTTTAATCTTATTTATTTATTCTCTTGTTATTNAGGCTGCAGCGTTGCTACCAGATGTGATCATGAAAAGATTTAGTCAAGAACAAAAGATAATCTATCTTTTAATCTTATTTATTTATTCTCTTGTTATTCACTTGCCATGTGACTAGGTGAGTGACTAACTACTACCATTATGGTTCTAGCTGTTCCACATTTTTTTTTCCGTTTATGTTGTTTCCTACACTATGTATTTATGTCTTCGTTGTTTAGTATTTAATTTATGTATTTGTTTTGTGTTGGGTTCCATAGTTACAAACTGAAATGAAGTTTCTTGTCCAAGTATAACACATTTCTTAGTTCAAATTTCTGATTTTTTTTACAGTTCATGAAAGGCAAAATGAAAACCAAAAGCTCGCAAATTACTCCATAAACATTTTTGAAAAAGTCCAAAAGATGATATTAATATACCAACATCTAATGGTAAAAAGATTGTGATGGTAACTAGTACCACTTAGATTCAATTCACAGTGGAAATGACTATTTATAATGTTTAAGTTTCCGGTAAAGAAACAAAACTATGTTTTTAATGATAATTTGGTGGTGAACAGTTACAAGTACGGCTTCCAGATATGATTCCCACTGGTTACTGGACATTTTACATGCGTTATCTCCAGTGCTCGAGATCAAAAATAGTGTTCACCTAACTAGTACCCATCTTCATATGTGCGTCCATGCTAAATTTTATCTCTGATCTAGATCAATTTGGTGAAGCCAGAACACTCTATTATTAAAATAAAATTGAATTTAATGGTGACAGAAACAAAAGCTGAAAGTTCAGAATTTTAAAATACATGATAATTTTTTTATTAGCTGCTATTCCAAAATAAAAATAAAAAAAATTAAAATAATTAAATGATCCCTTTTGTCTAAACAAATATTGAAAAACCCTAAAATTGGGTGAATGGGGAAATCGATCCTAAGCACAGTCAGATCCTAAACATCAGAGCTTGGAATGTTATATTTGGTTGATGGTGTTTTTTTCCTTATTATCTCATCATATACATATAGTTATATGTGTTTATGGGAAGCTTGATGTTGTAAGATATGCGTCTGTGTCTAATGGGGGAGGGGGTTTAATACCTGGTTTTGGTCTTTAGGGTTTTAGTTTCGTTAGGTCATCGACTTTGTGTTTCTTTTCATGTGTTAAAATATTAATTTATCTTTGTTTTGTATGAAAATGATTAGCAGCTTTTTATTTGGAAGTTTTAGGGTTCTTTACACTCTGTGTTTTGATATATGGTAGTTTTCATTTTATAGGATAATCCATCGGAAAAAGATGTTAACCAAGGAACTCTTGTGGTTTTCAACTTGGCTCCATCAGTTTCAAACAAAGACCTCGAGAACATATTCGGAGCTTATGGCGAGGTCAAGGAGGTGATGCTTCTTTATTGTTTCTCTTGTTTTCTAGAGGTTTCGCTCTAAACCTTGCAAAATGGGTTAACGTTTGTGTAAGTTATGATGTTCTGACAAA